TGCGGCTCAAGAGTCCCCCCCTGTCCAATTCCAGCGCAAGAGCCATGCTGTTCAAGCCGTGCAGTGCTGTATGCCCACGCGCGCGCGCGGCGGCAGTTGTGCGCGGCAGCGCAGGATGATACGCCCGTCATAACTACTGCATCCACGGATGGCCAGAGGGGGAGTCGGCTTGCACCCCCTCTGCGGAAGCCCTCTGCACATGATATGGATGGGAGGGCGATGCGAAGGATGGACTGGGGGAGAGGGACTTTTCCCCTGCGCGATCCATCAACACACAGCCGCTCGAAGTCATAGCAATACACCCTAGCTCCACCAACAGCGTGCAGGTAAAGATGAAGCAGAGGACTCTGGCTAAGAGATGTTCAGACAACTGCCCAGCGGCTTGGAACAGCGCAAAGCCGTGCGAGTCGACGGCGGCATGGTGTTGTATCCCCTATGGCCCTGACGGCCACCTGTATAGAAGCAGCACGACGCGAGTTGGAAAGGAAGGGAAACGAAACAGGAGGAGGAGGAGAAAGGAGGAGAGGTAAGCCGACAGACGGGTCACAGCTAAGGGCTCCACGGACTGGCGAGCTATACAGAAAGGACAACGACATGCATTCCAGAGTGCAGCAGTCCGAGGGAACCCAACCGAACAGGGGGAAGGAAGGGCATCGTTCGTATGACGAGCTTGATCAAAAGCCCTATCATGAAGAAGTGACTGAGCCCTCGCACACGTCCCGCGGCCCGATCTTTTCGAGACATGGACCTCCGGATCTCTCGACTCCCTCCCCAGGGCCAGCTTTCCATCCTGTCTTCGGATTGCCACGGGGCCCAGAACTGGCCTCCGAAATTCCCAACTTGCGAAAACGCAGCTGCTCCGATTTGTCGAGCCGTCTGACGTCTGGGCTGCTCAGATGTCGCAGCGCAATGCAGCCGCGTACCAACACGCGGGTGCCGTGCGTGCCCGATTGACGCCTGGCTCCGCGGGACGTGGTACTGCCCACAGCCGCGCCGATGCCACAGAAAATGCTCGTCCTCGCTCCCTCTCTGCCTGGTGCTCCCTCTCCTCTGCCTCCTCCCCTTTCTCCTCCTCCTCCTCCTCCTGCTCCTCCCTCCTCCCTCCTCCCTCGTCCCTCCTCCCTCCCCCTCCTCCCTCCTCCTCCTCCCTCCTGCTCCCTCTCCTCCCCTCTCCTCTCCTCTGGCCGAATAAAGGGGATGGGGGGCAGGAGGTCCCTGCTACTCCCTCCCTCATCCTCCCCTTCCGCCACCTCCTCCCGTCTCTTTTGGCGCGTCTCGCTGTAGTTTATGAGAAAATGGAATGTTGGAAATGTTTGTGGGTACGCGGGGCCATTGCTATCTTGGGCCCGCCGGTTGCTGATTCTGGCATCCCCAACTACGGGCTGCATCTGGGGCGCGGGCCAGGGCTACATCCGGGTGCATTTTCAAGGTGCCCGTGATGGCTGCCCGCGTTGGTAAGACGTCAGACTAGGAGCAAGTTGACCGTGGGGGATAGGCTGTCCTCCCCCTCATATCGAAGGGGCTGCTGCAGGCAGGGTAGGGGGGGGGGAAGTGACAGAATCACTAGCTCGCAATGACTGGCACAACTCCCTGGAAGGGGCGCAAGGCAAGCCACCGCGTCAGGATCGCCAGTCGCTAACCTCCCACCCCCCGCGACAGAAATACGAAGCAGCCTCCCCTGCGAAGTAGGAGGGAATGCCCGAGAAACTCCTGCAGAGGTGCAGAAATTCTCAGAAGTGTTCCCTGCCCGCTTCGGAGAGACGGCGGTGTGTGTGTGTGTGTGCGCGTGCGTGCAGGATGGCTCCTCTGCTCAACCCTCTACGCGAGCCTCTTCCGCCTTCTTTCGGGGATGGACAGACCCCCCTTTAGTAAAACGTGGTTTAGTGAAAACGACCTGAGGCCCAAACCTGGCGGGCGCAAGCCTGGACAATAACGGCCACAGCGCCCTCTCAAGAACCGAAAACGGACACTTCACTAATCGACGTGTCACTGTTGGGGGTTCTGCCCACCCATCGCGTGATTCTTCCCCCTCCCCACCGCGTGATCACTGCCTCCTGCAGTGGGCGGGCAGGTCCGGCCCCGGCCTCGGCCCCCGGCACTTCCCGGAGCAGGGCGCCGCTCTCAGGCGCAGCCCCCGTGCGGGTTGCCAGCCAGGGCTCGCCCTCGTCAGCCATGAGCAGCCACTGGCTGGGTGTTCTTCCTTGCCGATCCCTCCTCGGTGCAGGGACTGTTCAAGGGCGGCCCGCTCGCAGACCTGGCGATTGGGTCAGTGATCCTCCCGTCCTCCCTCCCCTCGTCGCGCTTTAAACTCCGTCCCTCCTCCGTCCTCTCCACTCCGCCGCTTCCTTCTCCGCTTCCTCCTGCTCCTGCTCCTGCTCCTGCTCCTGCTCCTGCTCCTGCTCCTCCTCCTCCTCCTCCTCCTCCTCCCGCTCCCCTTCTTCTCCTTCACCTCCTCATGCTGTCCTGTCGGCTCCAGCTGGCTCCTCGGCGGAAGAGCTCCCCAAGTGCGGCAGGGCAGCAACAAGCAGACGAGATAGTGCCGCTACGCCCACCTCCGCTCGCACGACGCCCGACCCGCCCTCCCCAGGACCAGAGCCCGACCTCGCCCCTCCTCCCTCCTCCCTCCTCCCTCCTCCTCCTCCTCCTCCTCCTCCTCCTCCTCTCCTCCTCCTCCTCCCCCCTCCTCCTCCTCCTCCTCCCTCCTCCTCCTCCTCCTCCTCCTCCTCCTCCTCCTCCTCCTCTCCTCCTCCTCCCCCTCCTCCCTCCTCTTCCCTCCGCCGCCTCCTCTTGCCCCTTGACGGGGGAAGAGCCCTAAATTAGTCGTCCTTGTCTCGAGATTGGAAGCCTTCAGTCTTGTCCGGGTCAAGCTTAACTCGAACTCAGCCCCCAGCAGAGTTGAGAGCCTTACACTTGATGGCGAGAGAAGGAAGGCCCTTCCTTCTCTCGGTCCTCCTCCTCCAGCCCCCCTCCCCTGCTTCTCCTCCGCCTCCGCCTCCGCCTCCGCCTCCTCCTCCTCCTCCTCCTCCTCCTCCTCCTCCTCCTCCATCTCCTCCCCCACTTCGCGCACCGCGCCCCGCGGTGCGCGGCCATCTTCGCGCCCTCGCGCCGCCCGCCCCAGAGAAAAGGCCAGCTCGGCGGCCCTGGCCGCGACGCGCGCCCCTCGTCGCGCCCCCTCTGGGGGTCACGTATAGTGTGCGGCCGCGAGCTGGAAGATGGCACGCTGCTGGGAACCCTGACGATGAGCACGACGACGATGACAAGGGCGAGAAGTACGACCCGGAAGAGGTGGGAAGGAATTGGCGAGGGGAAGCGCAGAGGTCAGGAGGGGAACAAAAAGCACAGACACAATCAACGGTCGATTCCCCCGGAAATGTGGGACCATATGGGAAGTGGGGGGGGAAGACAAACACCCAGAACATATGGGAACATATGGGGCATCCTGTTATTTGCGTGTATCTCTCTCTCTCTCTCTATGTGTGTGTGTGTGTGTGTGTGTTTGTGTGTTTGTGTGTGTGTGTGTGTGTGTGTGTGTGTGTGTGTGTGTGTGTGTGTGTGTTTGTGTGTTTTTGTGTGTGTGTGTGTGTGTGTGTTTGTGTGTGTGTGTGTGTTTGTGTGTGTGTGTGTGTGTGTGTGTGTGTGTGTGTGTGTGTGTGTGTTTGTGTGTGTGTGTATATATATATATAGCTATTTGTGCGTCCCAGGGCCCCTGCAGGAGGGGAAAATGGAGAGCGGACGCGCAGGAGGCAGAGCAGGGAACCACGCTCGGGGCCCTCTGCCGCCCCTCCCCGCCGCTGCTCCTCCACGGCCCGAGGGGAGGGGCGGGGCGACGGGACGCGAGCCACGGGGAGGGGAGGGAGGGGCAGGGAGGGGCAGGGAGGGGCAGGGAATGGAGGGGAGGGAATGGAGGGGAGGGAGGGAGGGAATGGATGGGGAGGGGAGGGGAGGGGAGGCCGATGTGCCGCCATGCGACCGAGGCCGCGGGCGGCCCGGCCGCCAGCCTGGGGCGGCCGAACAACCGGACGGCTGCAAGCAAGAGGAGCCCGAGGGCACCGCTGCCGGCGGGTGCCCGCGCGGGGCGCTCGCGCGCTGCGGCGGCGGGTCGGGGCTGGCCGCGAGGTGGGCCGTGCCACGAGAAGCCCGGGCGCAAGCCTGGAAAATGACGGCCGCGGCGCCCTCTCGAGAACCGAAAACGGACAATTCACTAATCGACAGGCCGGAGGGGCCTCCCTCCCCCCCTCGGGGATGGACAGAACCCCCTTTGGTAGAACGTGGTTTAGCGAAAACGACCTCGGGCCCAAACCTGGCGGGCGCAAGCCTGGAAAATGACGGCCGCGGCGCCCTCTCGAGAACCGAGAACGGACAATTCACACATCGACGTGTCAGGGTGGGGGTCCTGTCAGCCCCCGACCCCCGCATCCCGCTCGAGTCACAGGGAGTCCGCGAACGACTTCATGGCCCCGACGGTCTCCAGGAAGAAGTGCTCGACCCCGGGCTCCGCGGCGGCGAACAGGTCTCCCGCGTGCGGGGTTCCTGCGCGCCGCGGCCGCCGGGCGCGCGCTCTCCCAGAAACAGGCCCCGGGGAGGGCGAGGGGGGGGAGAGAGAGAACGGGGCCACGGGCGGGTGAGCGGGCGCACGGGAGGGAGGACGAGGAGGCTGCTCGGGGGAGGAGGATGCTCGGGCGAGGGGGATGAGGAGGATGCTCGGGGACGCGGACGAGGAGGACGAGGACGAGGAGGATGCTCGAGGACGGAGGACGGGGAGGATGATCGGGGGAGGCTGGGCCCCCAAAGGCCCCGAGACGGCCCAAGAGTGCCCCAGGAGGCCTCCCAGACGGTCCAAGAGAGCCTCGAATCGCCGAACGACTGGTCCAAGACACCAAAGACGGTCTCCAGATGGCCCAAGAAGCATCCAAGACGCTCGAAGAGGCCTCCAAGATCACTCCCAAGAGGGTCGCAACACGCAATCATCAATGATTTTCCATAGGTTTGTAAAATTTGGGCGTTTTCGCCTATCGGCTTCTCGACGCTACAAGCCGGCTCAAGAGGCCCCCAAGATCGTCCCAAGAGGCGCCCAAGAGACCTCCAGGGCCCCCAAATGACCCAGGACGGCCCCAGGACGGCCCAAGAGGCCTCCAAGACGGCCCAAGAGGCCTCCAAGACGGCTCCACTGGGGTGCTTAGATGGGGGACCTGAGCGGACATTTCGAGCCCTCGGCCTCGAGAAGCTACCAGGAGGCCCCCAGAGGCCCCAGGATGACCCCAAGAGACCCCAAGAGGCCCCCACCAGGCCCCCAGAAGCCCCAAGACGCCCCCGAGAGGCTCCCAGAAGGCCCCTGAGATGCTCCCAAGAGACCCCCCAACTGCCCGCCCCCTACTGTCGGACCCAGGCCAGAAGAGCATCCCTCAAGAACATGAGACCCTCGGTCGGCCGAAACCAACAGAACATCCGAGGGTACTCTCCTCCAGGATGCACCATAATACCCAACAGACACGAAGAACATCAGGGTGCCCTTTCTCGAACCGACCTCGATTTTTTTTTTGCGCGGCGGGAATGACTCCTCGTCTGCAATTCCCACCATCGGTTCTGCATCACGACCACTCTTGTGCAGCTTTTGTGCCGCAGCAAGTGATGCCAACAAAACTGACCTGTTCTGTAGGTTGGCCAGGCGTTGGTTGACAGATGACCGTAACAAGTGGAGGAAACACACATGGAAAATAAAGCCTGGGCGAAGGAAGATATCCAGCGCCCTGCCCTCCTGAAGCCTTCATTGTGACGCTGTTCTGCTGACCCGAGTCATGATGCCGTCCCTGTGCGGCTCAGTCTGTAAGACGAGTCAACCCTGTGCGACTGAGAAACATGTAAGTCAGTGGAGATCCAACAGTATATGTGTACTCAATACTTAAGGACACCAAGTAAGAACCTCTAAATGCAATCACTGCTTGGGAAAAAGAGGTCATGTCTCGCAGCTGCTGCAAATCCCGCCTGACCCTCACCCAACGCTCAACTGGCTGGAATGGTCTACTGGCACATGATGGCCAATCCATTGTCGGACGCGTCGTTCGAAGTAGCTCCGCCCTGCTGAATCCAGCATCCGATGTCGTTCTGTTCGCGCATGTAGCAGCAGAACGGGCCGGCGCCTGCAGACTGCGCCTCGCAGAGCGACCTGCAGCTCGACGTGTCTGTCGAGGTGCTCAGCTGCTGATACTCGCCACCAGCGCACCCGTACACTGACTGCGTCGGCCACGCGTCACACGACGACGCCGCCTCGGCAGGTCCGGGAGCCGCCGCGGGAGGTGCGGGTGTGGGAGGCGGCAGCGCAGACGCGGAGTCTGCGGAGCAGGACGCCGCAGAGCCGGTGTCGGAGAACGCCAGGAAGTACAGGTACAGGAAGTCCACGCCGGTGGGACTGCCGCCCTCGGTGCACGCGGGAGTCTCCGCGCCATCCTGAGTCAGCTGCAGCTCAAAGTTCCCAGGCTTGTTCTGAACGACCGCGTACGTGGTCTCCGAAAGGTTGTCGCCGCTCACCCGCTCCAGGGCGAGGAGCCAGACGTCTCCGCTGTAGGTCTGGGCGGCGGAGGGCGACGCAGTCTGGAAGATGGAGCCGCCGTACATTAGGGACGCCCACTGGACGTCGCCCCCTAGCAGCAAGTACTCCAGCGACACGGTCTGCTCTCGCTCAACCAGCTCCGTGGAGTTGTCCGCGCAAGCCAACCTAACCACAATGCCGGCCTCGCCGGCGTAATGCTTGCACTCGCCCACGGTGGGGGCTGGCGACGGAGAGCTCCCAGGGCCAATGCGAAGATGGCCAGCTCCGTCCTCTCCGCAGCCCTGAAGGAGCGTGGCCACCGCGAGCGAGGAAACGATCGCTAACGGACAGAGGAAGGCGGCCATGGCTTGCGGAGGGGCGCGAGCGACGCCGGCAAAAACAAGAAAAGGGGCGCTGCAGAGCTGGAACAGCCCTTGAGCCAAAATGGCTTGAGCCAACTGTAGCCCTGAAGAGACCCCAATAAGTATCTGTGAGGATTCTGACCCACGTCAGCGTCGCCGCCGCCGCCGCCGCCGCCGCCCCCGCCGCCGCCGCCGCCGCCGCCGCCCCTGCCGCCGCCGCCGCCGCCGCCGTCGTCATCGTCGTCGTCGTCGTCGTCGTCGTCGCCGTCGTCGCCGCCGCCGTCGTCGCCGTCGTCGTCGTCGCCGTCGCCGTCGTCGTCGCCGCCGCCGTTGTCGTCTTCGTCGTCGTCGTCGTCGTCGTCGTCCGGGGGGGGGCGAGCGGGGGGGGGAGAGAGAGCACGGGGCCCCGAGCGGGTGCGCGGGTGCACGGGAGGGAGGACGAGGAGGCTGCTCGGGGGGAGGAGGCAGACGCAGAGGACGACGCAAAGGCTCTCCCGAGGCCGTCTCAGAGGCCCCCCTGCAGGGGGCCTCCGGAGGCCCTCAGAAGCCGTCGGAGGCCCAGGAGCCAAAACGTCCCCAGATATCCGACGTCTCGGTTCTTTCGAGACACGGGCCCCCGACCTCCCGACCACTCCCCAGGGGCCGGTTTCTCGCCCCGAGTCGTTATCTGACGGTACCGAGGCCCGGCGAGGGCCCCGAGAGGCCGAACACGATGGAAAACCTCCGTCTCGATTCTTTCGAGACGCCCGACGCCTGGGTCCCACGTCGGGCCTCCTCCCAGCGGGCGGTGCACGGCAAGCCTCTCCGCCACACGTCGGGGCGCCCGTGCCAGGGCGGCCGGAGCAGTCTGCACCCCTGCGCGCGGGGGCCCAGGGCGGTGGGCCCACGGAGCCCGACGACGGCGACGAGTCGCGGGGCCCGCTCCCAGGCCTCTGACGTCTTGATTCTTTCAATGGGGCGCACAGAGACATACTAATACTACATGTCTTCCTTGGAGGCGCGCGTCCAAGTCGAATACACCCATCTTGTAGCATATCGTTTCCCGAGCGGTGTGGCCAGAAAGCGCCCACCACGACGCATATACTATAAGATTTCTCGGTGCGCGCGCCGCCCCTTGGGGGGCGACGCACATATAGTATAAGTACGTTGGGGTGACGCCGATTTCAATGCGGGGGTTCGTAGAAGGGGGGTTTGCCAAGGTGGGGTACGGCAGGTTTGTGTCGTGTCGGCCCTAGCGTTGGTTCCTGACACCGCGGGAATCATTCAACCTTGAACGATCGGCCGCTTCGGAAGCGCCGAATCGTTCAACGATGGGCCGATTCTGGGTCGCCTGCGGCGTGCAAAATTGAAAGCCAGTGGCGGGATCGCCGCCAGTCGACACGACGCGAACCTACCGTAGGGAACGAACCCAGTTCTGGATGCTCACGTTCCCTTCTCGTGAGCGTTTTCTTGTTCGGCGTTTCGACATTGGGCGGAAGGGGGGGAAGGGGGGGTCTGGCTCTAGACCTCTGCTTCATGCGACTGTTTGCAACAGTGCGTCCTATGGGAGAGACTCCACCTGCTCGAAACAGGCGCCCAAAACAGCCAAGATCTACTCTATGGAGGGGGGAGGGGGGGCGTGCGATGGCCCGCGTCGATCGGCAAAACAATGAATCAGCAAACGATCACCTTCTAGGAGGCGTTTACAAGGATGTTCCTCGTTCCTCCCAGCCCTACCTCTACCCCTGCCCCACCTTGGCGTTTCCCGATCACTGCGGGGTCCCTGCCCCAGGACCAGTTCTTCGCCCCGGATCGTTCCTTGACGGCCCTGGAGCTCGGCGAGGGACCCCGGACGCCGAGAACTGCGAGCAGACTCCGTGCAGCTGCCTTCCAGCTCGTTGGAGGTCTGGGTTTCCCTAGGGACCTGCTCGCCTCCTCCCCAGACGTCCGACGTCTCGATTCTTTCGAGACGCGGGCCCCCGACCTCCCGACAATTTCCCCAGGGCCGGTCTTTCGCCCCGAGCCGTTCTCTGACGGCTCCGAGGCCCGGCGAGGGCCCCGAGAAGCCGCATACCCAGACCCCCGACGTCGTGATTTTTTCATGACGTCGACCCCCAGAGGTCTGGACCCTTTCCCCGGGACCGGTTTTTCATCCTGAGTCGTTTTTTGACGCTCCCGCGGCCCGGTGAGGACCTCCGGAGGGCAAAAATAGCGAAAAACCTTCCGTCGTGTTTTTTTCACGACGCGAGGGGGTCTGGGTACGATGGGAAACCTCCGTCTCGCTTTTTTCTCGAAACGGCGGCCCTCCGCCAAACGCGTGCCAGGGGGGCCCACTTCGTGCCGATCGGCCGCCGGGGGCCCCCGTTGCGGCTGGACCGATGTACGAGTGCGAGGTCGAATCGGGGAGGGTGCCCTCGTCTTCGTCGTGCTGGTTGGATGTTCTTGTGCGTTTTGGGGGAGGGTACCCTCGAACGTTCTTTGGTTTGGCCGTGGATGCCTGGGCCCCCCCCGGCCCCCGAGCTCCTAGCACCGTGCGGCTCTCCGCGCGCACGCCCGCCTCTCGGAGCCTCTCGCAGTACGCGAGGCCCTCGTCGCGCAGGGGGTCCAGCTCGTTCACGCTGACCACGTGCGGGGGCAGCCCGCGCAGGTCCGAGGCCTGAGCCGCTCACCAGGATCGAGGCTCGAAGCTTCGGCCTCTTTCGGTGCCTCTGCGTACAGGGCAGTTTTTAATACATGGGATGTTCAAAAATACAGGATTATGCAGGCAAAGCAACCTAACAGCGATGTGTAGGAGCATCTCTGGAAACATTCCCCTTAAGATTCAGATGATAATCCAGTTGTAGAATTCTGCTGTTCTCGCAGTCGCAGTCGCATTCGCGATGACAGTCGCAGTGGCAACGGCAGTCGCAGTCACAGCCTCAGCCTGCCTCAGCCTCAGCCTGCCTCAGCCTCAGCCTCAGCCTGCCTCAGCCTCAGCCTCAGCCTCAGCCTCAGCCTCAGCCTCAGCCTTCCTCAGCCTCAGCCTCAGCCTCAGCTTCAGCCTCAGCCTCAGCCTCAGCCTCAGCCTCAGCCTGCCTCAGCCTCAGCCTCAGCCTCAGCCTCAGCCTCAGCCTCAGCCTGCCTCAGCCTCAGCCTGCTTCAGCCTCAGCCTCAGTCTGCCTTCAGCCTCGCCTCAGCCTCAGCCTGCCTCAGCCTGCCTGCCTCAGCCTCAGCCTCAGCCTCAGCCTGCCTCAGCCTCAGCCTGCCTCAGCCTCAGCCTCAGCCTGCCTCAGCCTCAGCCTCAGCCTGCTTCAGCCTCAGCCTCAGTCTGCCTTCAGCCTCGGCCTCAGCCTCAGCCTCAGCCTCAGCCTCAGCCTGCCTCAGCCTCAGCCTCAGCCTGCCTCAGCATTCAAAATGTGGCCCGGGATTGGAGTTCTGGGAACTCGAAGAACACGAAGTGGCCTGCAGTTGGCTCCGGGCATTCAAAACCATGCCCAGGAATGGTGTTCTGGGAAGTCGAAGAACACGAAATGGCCTACAGTTGGCTCCGGGCATTCAAAATCATGCCCAGGAATGGAGTTCTGGGAACTCGAGCATTCAAAATCATGCACAGGAATGGGGTTCTGGAAACTCGAAGACCACGAAATGGCCTACAGTTGGCTCCGGGCATTCAAAATCATGCCCAGGAATGGAGTTCTGGGAACTCGAAGACCACGAAGTGGCCTACAGTTGGCTCCGGGCATTCAAAATGTGGCCCGGGAATGGAGTTCTGGGAACTCGAAGACACGAAGTGGCCTACAGTTGGCTCCGGGCATTCAAAATCATGCCCAGGAATGGAGTTCTGGGAACTCGAGCATTCAAAATCATGCCCAGGAATGGAGTTCTGGGAACTCGAAGAGCACGAAATGGCCTACAGTTGGCTCCGGGCATTCAAAATCATGCCCAGGAGTGGAGTTCTGGGAACTCGAAGACCACAAAGTGGCCTACAGTTGGCTCCAGGCATTCAAAATGTGGCCCGGGAATGGAGTTTTGGGAACTCGAAGAGCACGGAATGGCCTACAGTTGGCTCCGGGCATTCAAAATGTGGCCCAGGAGTGGAGTTCTGGGAACTCGAAGACCACGAAGTGGCCTACATTTGGCTCCGGGCATTCAGAATGTGGCCCGAGAATGGAGTTCTGGGACCTCGAAGGCCACGAAGTGTGTAACTGTTTGCTTAAAACGACTTCCGCGGATTCTCCCCGGATCCTGCCCGGACCCCCCTGGGGAGTCATGATGCTCTCTTTTGAGACCACTAGAAACCTATCAGTCTTCGCTGTTAGGTAATTTGTAATTTTTAATACATGGGATTTTCAAACATACATGATTTTTAATACATGATTAATGTATGAATGAATTTATGCATGAACTCATCCTTGCTTTTAATGCTAAACCCCTGCATTTTGAATACATGATCCGCACGCGGAGCATGTGTAAAAAAACGGCACTGTCGTCACGCTTCTTTTTCCCCATATCCTAAGATGGGGTTCTTGTTATTACTTGGACGCCTCCTACTCCTCCTTCTTCCTCCTCCTCTTTTCTCCTCCCCTCCTGTCGGACATACTCAGACTTGCTCATACACAGACTTACTCACACTCAGACTTACTCATACTCAGACCTACTCATACTCAGACTTACTCACACTCAGACATACTCATATACAGACTTACTCATACACAGACTTACTCACACCCAGACGTACTCATACACAGACTCACTCATACCCAGACTTACTCATACACAGTATTAGTCATACTCAGATCCTTCGCTTGGAGAGCAGATTGTGAGGATGTCTCAGGCGGGGCGCTGGTTTCAGCACCCCTAAGGGGAGCCGCCAGGGGTGGTTGCACGGGCTCGTTCGCGGCCATTTTGTGGGGATGTCTCAGGCGGTTTGCCTGTTTCTGGGCCCAACATCCTTCGCTTCGGAGCAGATTGGAGGATGTCTCGAGCGAGGCGCTCATTTCAGCACCCCTAAGGGGAGCCGCCAGGGGTGGTTGCACGGGCTCGTTCGCGGCCATTTTGTGGGGATGTCTCAGGCGGTTTGCTGTTTCTGGGCCCAACATCCTTCGCTTTCGGAGCAGATTTGGAGGATGTCTCGAGCGAGGCGCTCATTTCAGCACCCCTAAGGGGAGCCGCCCACGGGCTCGTTCGCGGCCATGTCTCAGGCCTTCGCTTTTCGGAGCAGATTTGGAGGATGTCTCGAGCGAGGCGCTCATTTTCACCCCCCAGGTGGGCCAGATTTTGAGGATGTCTCGATCGGTTTGCTTGTTTTGGTGGCCAGGCTCGTGGGCGCAGATTCTTCTCAGGATGCCACAGGAGGCTCCAACAGGCTCCAGGAGGCCCCAGGAGACCACATGAGGTCCCAGGAGGCATCAGGAGGCCACAGAAAGACTCAAGAGGCCACAGGATGTCCCAAGAGGCTCCAGGAGGCCCCAGGAAGCTCCAGAAGGCCTCAGGAAACCACAGGAGGCCCCAGGAGGCAACAGGAAGCGCCAGGAGGCCTCGGAAGGCAACAGGAGGCCCCGAGAGGCCCCAGGAGCAGGAGGCCTCAGAAGGCAACAGGAGTGGCTCCAATCCCATGTGTTTTACGTATGCTCCTATCGATTGGGCCTCACCTGGAGCACGATTCTTTGATGTTCTACGTATGTTTCTATAGATGGTCCTTCTCCTGTGTACACAATCCTAAATGTTTTACTCATGTTCCTATGTATTGGGCCTCTCCTGGGGCACGAGTCCTTGGTGTTTTACGCGTGTTCCTATAGATTGCCCTTCTCCTGTGGCTCTAATCCGCAATGTTTTATGTACGTCTGTTGCTATAGATTGCGCCTCTCCTGGGGCACGAAACCTTCCTAGGAGGTCCCAGGAGGTCCCAAGAGGCTCCTGGAGACCCCAGGAAGCCCCAGTAGGTTTCAGGAGGCCCCAGGAGGCCCCAGGCTCATGCACAGAGACGCGCTCGTACTACTGAGGCTCATTCACACTCCAATTCATTCGCAGTTAGATTGATGTCCAGACCGTCACAACTGAAGCCCGTTAATATTCGAAAGCTCTTGCGCCTAGACATTCACGGCGGACAGGTCCATGCGAGTAGATGCACATATGGGGAGCTCCACGCAGTGAATAATTTTGGCACCTTCGGCCCCTCGTCTGGGCCTCCGAGAGCCTCCAGGGCCCCCTGGGAGGCTCCCGGAGACTTCCCCGCTCGCCGCAGGAGGGGGGCCGAGGGGGACGATCCAGGAGCGAGGTTGCTTCCCCAGACATGCGACGTCCTGATTTTTTCAGGACGGCGTCCCTGGAAGTCCCGACCCTTTCCCTGGGGCTGGCTTTTCATCCAGAGTCGTTTTTTGACGGCCCCGAGGCCCGGCGAGGGCCCCTAGAGGCCGAAATTGGCCAAAAACAGCCCGTCCTGATTTTTTAACGACGCGATCATGTCTGGGTCTGGAGGCTGCTGGCCCTCCTTGAGCCTCCCTTCGGCGGCGAGCCCGGGGTGGCAGCGAGAAGGGGCGGGCCTTCTCGGAAGGCTCGGAAGTCCCCCCGGAAGGCCGGAGGCCTTCTGAGAAGCCCCGCCGCCTTGACTGAGGAGGCCTTCTCCTGCTCGGTCCCCCCCCCTCGCTCGCCGCCGATCCCCGCGCCCTCGTCGCTACCGCAGCCTTCGGCTCCCCCCCCCTTCATCTATCGCCCCCCCCCAGCTGCGAAACGCCCGATCGGAGCGCACCCCAGGACACGCACGCGGGGCCGACCTCCGTCGCCCGGCGGCACGTCTGGGGGGGAAGCAGGGGGGGGGGGGGGGGGGGCGTCTGGGGGGAGAGGGGAGGGGGCGGGCCTTCCGAGAAGGCGGCGGGGCTTCTCGGAAGTCCTCCGGCCTCCTGGAAGCCGCCTCCGCTCTCGGAGAAGGCCTGGACGACCCCTGAGGGCCCGAGGCCCTCCGAGCCTTCGAAGAGGGCCCGCCGGCCCCCTCTTTCCACCCTGGACCCGCCGCCGGACCCCACGCTCCCGAATCCCTGAACTCGGACATGCTGCCATCTCTTCGGGCGCGCACCCTGGGCCTCCGCCGGCCCTCCGCCAGCGGCGCCGCCCTCGCTCTCCTGCCGCCTGGACATGGGGGAAGCGGATTTACAGATCGATTCCTTTTGGGGCGGGGCGGGGTACATAGAATGGGAGGAGAGGAGAGGAGGAGGAGGAGGAGGAGGAGGAGGAGGAGGAGGGGAGGAGGAGGAGGAGGAGGAGGAGGAGGAGGAGGAGGAGGAGGAGGAGGAGAGACAGAGAGAAAGAGAGAGAGAGAGAGAGAAAGAGAGAGAGTGTCAAGAGAGGGAGGAGAGAGACAGAGGGAGGAGGAGAGTGAGGAGGAGAGAGAGAGGAAGGGAGAGGAGAGGAGGAGAGAGAGAGAGAGAGAGAGAGAGAGAGAGAGAGAGAGAGAGAGCCCCCGCCCACCCTCCGCCGCGCTCCGCCGAGGAAGAGAGGCCGCCTCCCTCGGCCCTCGCACGGCGAGAGGCCCTCGAACGGCGAGCGCCTCCCGCGGGGCCGACCTCCGCCGGTGGAGGCACCTCTCGGCACGACCGTGTCCCTTTTCGGTCTCCGGGCCGCCGGGTGGCCCGCTGCGGGCCCCGGGGGGCCATCCCAGACGTCGGTCGTCTCGAAAAGATCGAGACGGAGGCTTTTCGTTATGTTCGGCCTCCCGGGGCCCTCGCCGGGCCTCGGGGGCCGTCAAAAACGACTCGGGATGAAGAACCGGTCCTGGGAAAGTGGTCGGGTGGTCCTGGGGAGGTGGCCCGCTGCGGGCCCCGGGGGGCCATCGGCAAGAACTGCCTTCGCGCCGCCCCCTAAAACAGGGCTGGGATCGGGATAAATCGCTCCAAAGCGTTCCGGAGCGCTCTCAGAGCGTTCCGGGACGCTCTGGAGCGGCCGCGGCGCCCAATACATCCTCCAAACCCGCCGATTCTCAGAGATTTCGAGTTATCCCGATCCGATTTTGTCCCGATCTTCGCGTCGTTTGACCCCCCGCCCCCACGGAGGACAACAAAAAAGCACTGGCCCCCGGGGGCGGGGCCAGAAGGTGTCGGAGGCCCCGGGCCCATGCCGTGAGGGGTAGGGCGCGGATGATCGAGCCCAGACCCCCTCGAGTCATGAAAAAATCACGACGGGAAGGTTTTCGCTAGTTTCGGCCTCCCGGGGCCCTTACCGGCCCTCAGGCCCGTCAAAAAACGACTCAGGATGAAAAGCCGGTCCCGGGGAATGGGTCTGGACCTCTGGGGGTCGCGTCATGAAAAAATCATGACGTCGGGGGTCTGGGAGGATCGAGAGGACTCGGCGGCGAGCCCGGGGGGAAGCGAGAAGGGGCGGGCCTTCCCAGAAGGCTCGCAAGTCCCCCGGCCTTCTGAAAGCGTTCCTATAAACCTTCCCCGAAAACCAGAAAGCCTCCCAGAAGGCCGGAGGCCTTTCGAGAAGCGCCGCCGCCTTCTGAGAAGGCCTGCTCCTTCTCACTTCCCCCCCCTCGCTCGCCGCCGAAAGACGCCCTTCAGCAAAACGCCCTTAAGTGAAAACGTCCATGGACAATCCTCGTGCGCACGGCTCCGCATTCCCAATGGACCCGGCCGGGATAATCATTAATCGACGTCCGAAAACAAGCGAGCGTATCCGGCCAGACCACGACTATTAGCGAACCTGGTTGGGGACTGCACCGGCGTACTTGAATGCCAATGTCGAGCGAACCGCTGCAGACTTCCATCTCTCAATGCCCGAGACTAGCAGGAGGGACGCTGCCCCACCAGATTTCCGTCCACGAGGCCAGCACTAATGGAAAACACCGGCCAGTTCGCAACACGTTCTTGTTAATAGGCTTGCCAGTTCTAGCGGTGGGGCGCAGTGGAAGCAGATACGAGAAGGACGAGGAGGAGGGGAAGGATGGGGAGGAGGAGGCGGAGGTCCTCCGCCACGAGCGGCCACGCGCAAGGGTCGCCCTCGTTCCTCCGCTCCGGATCGTAGAGCCTTGCGCAGACCTTGACCAGCTCGTGGCAGATGAGGTAGTCTCTGCACTCCCTCAGCGACTTCAGCCAAAGCTTGGTAGAGGAGGTCGACCCCCTGTCTCCCGCAGACTCCCAAAGCCTGGGCCCAGCGATGAACGGGCACAGGGCGAATACTCCATCGAACTCGTGCAGTCTCCCCTCCCGCCTGGCGCGGAGGGCCGTAGATAGGCATAAGTTGCCACCGCCAGACTCCCCACTCAGAATTAGCCTAGATATGCCCAACTTCCTACGATGCGCGTGAGTCCATGACAGCGCGCTCATGCAATCGTTGAGTCCCGCCGGGTAGGGATAGCGGCCCAACTTGCCAGAGGCATTGCGGAACTCGACTGAGACAACCACGAATCCCAGTCGTGCCATTCGAGCCCTCAGGCTGCGATACAACGGGTCTTTGGTAGACATTAAAGTCATTCCGCCACCGTGCAAATGCAGAATTCCAGGAACGTCTCCAGCTACGTCTTTGGGCTTTGCAATGTGAAGCTCGACCGCGTTGCCATCTGCACCAGTGACGACCTCCCTGAACTCCTCGACGTTCGACATGTCGGGCATCGGTATGCGCCCCTCGCCATCTTCCTCCTCCTCGCTCTTTATCCTCCTCGCACTCCTCCTCTTCGCCCTACCGTATTCCAACTCATTGCCCTCCTTCTCCTCATCGGCTACGCCCTCTTCCCTCCCTCTCCGCTTCTGCATCCTCCTCCTCTGCACCTTCCTCCTCCTCCTCCTCCTCCTCCTCCTCTTCTTTCTTTTCCCCCCTCTTCCCCCTCCCCCTCTTCCCCTCTCCCCCTCGCCCCCTGCGGGGCATTGGTCCCCGTGCGGGGGCCGCGATCCCCTGGCGCACGGCGGGCGCCGTGGGGGCGCCCGACGTGGCGCTTGGGAGCGGGCCTGGGCTCCAGCGCGGGCGCCTGGCCGCCCGAGCGGGACGCCGCTGTCCCGCCACCGTGGGAATCGACTATGCGCAAGAGTGACCCTGGGTACGGAAGGTTCGTGTCGTGCCGACTTCGGCGTTGGTTTCTGACACCGCGGGGATCGTTCAACCTTGAACGATCGGCCGTCTCCGAAACGTCAGATCGTTCAAATCTACCGATGCTGGGTCGCCGGCGGCGTTCAACGTTGAACTCCGGCGGCGGGGTCGCCGCCGGTCGACACGACGCGAACCTACCGTAAGAGTGACCTTTGGGGCGCGACTTTTTCGGGGGCCGCGGGGGGACCAAACCTGGGCGCGCGAGCCGCTGCTCCTGCTCCGTTTTCAGCCCTCTGGGGACCCAGCTGTGCCCGCACCAAGGGTCACTCCGGCGAAAGGTCACTCTTACGTCTAGTCGAGGGGAGCAGACGATACCTCTCCAGGCGATGTCGGCAGCACCACACATAAGATCCACGATTGCTTTCGGTGGCGCCCTCCCGGCGGTATCGCTGACCACACAAGAGAATCAACCCGAGACGTGCTCATTTTCGCATGTGGAGAGGACCGTCAAAGGAGCCCCAAGGAGCCCCAGAGCAATCTTGAAGCACCCAGTTCGAAGCTGACGCAACTCTCCCTCTCTCCCTCCCTCTCCCAGACATGCGACGTCCTGATTTTTTCAGGACGGCGGCCCCGAAATCCCGAGCCTTTCCCCGGGACCGGCTTTTCGTCCCGAGTCGTTTTTTGACGGTCCCGAGGCCCGGCGAGGGCCCCTAGAGGCCGAAATTGGCCAAAAACCGCCCGTCCTGATTTTTTTACGACGCGATCATGTCTGGGGCAACTCTCCCTCTCTCCCTCCCTCTCTCTCCACCCATCCCGGGTAGGATCCTCAGCTCGGAGCGCCTGGCCGGGGAACCTCCCGAGATCCATGGGGGCCCGAAGTCGGAGCCCTCCTCCTGCCCGCCCAGAGGACCGACCCTGGCTGGCGGGCCTGCGGGAACTGCCGCTTCCGCCCTGGGGCCCCGGCGCCGGGAGCGCTTCTGTACTGCCTCCGGCTACTATCGGGTCGGGCGAAAGGGGGGGATAGCAAAGGGGGGGTTTGAGAATCAGCTCACGTAGCTGATTTTCCCGGCGCCTCCCGGCGCCAGAGGCGGCTATGTATCGAGGACTGGGCCCCTCGGTGAGGCCGAAACCAGCTGCCTGCAGCAAATTTCGTAACCCCCCCTTTCCCAATCCCCCCCTTTCGCCCGGCCCGATACTACGGGGAAAACAGACCTACCTCGCTTTTGACCACCCTCGCTTCCAAGAGATACCAAGCGATGCGGAAACTGCCGCTTCCGCCCTGGAGCCCCGGCGCCGGGAGCGCTTCTGTGCTGCCTCTGGCTACTAGGGGGAAAACAGACCTACCTCGCTTTTGACCACCCTCGCTTCCAAGAGATACCAAGCGATGCCAAACTACGGCGTGTACTGGTCAGGCCGCTTGACGAGGAGGCGCGTGGTATGACTTGGCTTTTCCTGGAAGCGAAAGCGGGGTAGGTAATTCACGCTCTGAGTTGCAGCGGGGGGGGGGGAGCTGATTATTTCCTGGGATTCTGCGTGCCCGCTCTGCGCCGCTCGGGCGCTCGGCTCCAGGGGATGGCGCGAGGGCCTCAGGCAGCTGCTGACCGTGTGCTCTGCGGTGGCCACCCTGCGTGAGGCGTGCCCGTGCAACGACGCGGTGCGGTGGGCGAGCGGCGACGCGGAGGATATCGCCGCAGACATCCCGCTGCTCCAACTTTTTCGATGCGTGGGCCCCAGAGGTCTGGACCACTTCCCCAAGGCCGGTTTTCGTCCCGAGCCGTTCTTTGACGATCCCGAGGCCCGGCGAGGGCCCTTGGATGCCGAAATCAACCCCATACCGCCCGCTCCAATCCGACCAGCCCTCTGGGCTTAGGTGGTATAGCGCCTTTTTTTCTTTTCTCTATCACTGTTCCCTATCAATAAACACCCCCTCCCCCAGGCGACTGGGGGCCAACCAGGGACCATGACGACCCCCCCACCCGCAATCCCTTTGTAAAAAAACAATGCAAACACACACTCTGATTCCAAATTCGGAACATGCCCAGCCAACCCGATGCGCCCCCCCCCCCCCCCCCACACCATCCCTGTCAACAAACAATACAGAGTACACTTGGCGGAGGCGGCGGCGGTTGCGGCGGCGGCGTTGGCTGCGGCGGCTGCGGCTGCGGCGGCGGCGGCGGCGACGGCGGCGGCGGTGGCGGCGGTGGCGGCGGCGGCGGTGGCGGTAGCGGCAGCGGCTGCGGCGGCGGCGGCGGCGGAGGCGGCGGTGGCGGCGGCGGATTGGCCCCCAGTAGCTACCCATCCAAAGACGACTGCTGCATATGCTGAGGCTCGGGCCAGACTCGGGTGCTACGTATGTGCTGGGAGGGCGGGTGGGAGTGAGCGAGACGGCTTGCGGGCGGGGGGGGTCTCGATCACTGTTCCCTATTGATAAACACCCCCTTCCCTAGGCGACTGGGGGCCAACCCAGGTCCATGCCAACACCCCCCCACAATCCCTTTTAAACAAGAAATATTATCCTGGCAAAGCAACCTAACAGCGATGTGTAGGAGCATATCTGGAAGCATTCCCCTTAAGATTCAGATGAGAATCCAGTTGTAGAATTCTGCTGTTCTCGCAGTCGTAGTCGCATTCGCGATGACAGTCGGAGTGGCAACGGCAGTCGCAGTCACAGCCTCAGCCTCAGCCTGCCTCAGCCTCAGCCTCAGCCTGCCTCAGCCTCAGCCTCAGCCTGCCTCAGCCTCAGCCTCAGCCTGCTTCAGCCTCAGCCTCAGTCTGCCTTCAGCCTCAGCCTCAGCCTCCTGCCTCAGCCTCAGCCTGCATCAGCCTCAGCCTCAGCCTCAGCCTGCCTCAGCATCAGCCTGCCTCAGCCTCAGCCTCAGCCTGCCTCAGCCTCAGCCTCAGCCTGCTTCAGCCTCAGCCTCAGTCTGCCTTCAGCCTCGGCCTCAGCCTCAGCCTGCCTCAGCCTCAGCCTGCCTCAGCCTCAGCATCAGCCTGCCTCAGCATTCAAAATGTGGCCCGGGAATGGAGTTCTGGGAACTCGAAGAACACGAAGTGGCCTACAGTTGGCTCCGGGCATTCAAAATCATGCCCAGGAATGGAGTTCTGGGAAGTCGAAGACCACGAAGTGGCCTACAGTTGGCTCCGGGCATTCAAAATGTGGCCCGGGAATGGAGTTCTGGGAACTCGAAGAGCACGAAGTGGCCTACAGTTGGCTCCGGGCATTCAAAATGTGGCCCGGGAATGGAGTTCTGGGAGGTCGAAGAGCACGAAGTGTGTGACTATTGGCTTAAAACGACTTCTGCGGCACCCTGTCCGGCACCCGCCCAGACCCCCCTGTGGAGTCATCTGCTGCTCTCTTTTGACACCACTAGAAACCTATCAGAACAAGCTGTTAGGTAACAAAACACACTCTGCCTCCAAATTCGGAACATGCGCAGCCAACCCGATGCGCCCCCCCCCACCACCATCCCTGTCAACAAACAATCCAGAGTACACTTGGCGGAGGCGGCGGCGGCTGCGGCGGCGGCTGCGGCGGCGGCGGCGGCGGCGGGGGCGGCGGGGGCGGCGGCGGCGGCGGCGGCGGCGGCGGTGGCGGCGGTGGCGGCGGCGGCGGTGGCGGTAGCGGCAGCGGCTGCGGCGGCGGCGGCAGCGGCGGCGGCGGCGGCGGCGGAGGCGGCGGTGGCGGCAGCGGATTGGCCCCCAGTAGCTACCCATCCAAAGACGACTGCTGAATATGCTGAGGCTCGGGCCAGACTCGGGTGCTACGTATGTGTTGGGAGGGCGGGTGGGAGTGAGCGAGACGGCTTGCGGGCGGGGGTGTGTCTTAACCCCTCCCCCTGCACCCTCCCCTGGGCCTGGGAGGGGGGGGGGACGGAGGCGCCGCAGCGTCCAAGATGGCCCAAGAAGGCTCCAAGAGGGCTTCAAAGTCGCAAGATGGCCTCCAAGATGGCCCATGCTGCTTGAAGATGGGTCAAGATAGCCTCCGACATACCCCCCAAGAGGCCCCAAGACAGCCCCAAGACGGATCCAAGTGCCCTCCGAGCCCTCCACGGCGCCCTCCAAGATGCCCAAACCCTTCAAAAGCCTAGGGAAAATCAATGTGTTTGGCATTATCGCCTTTTCGCTGCCGATGGGCTTTGGAAGCCTCAAGATGGCCCCAAGATGGCCCAAAAGAGGTCCAAGAGGGGCCCAAGAAGGCCGAAGCCGGCCCCAAGATCGCCCAAGAGGCGCCCAAGAGCGCTCCAAGAGGGCCCCAAGATGCCGTTTGAGAGCCTCCGAGGGGGCGATGCTAATTGAGGGACCTCCTCTTTTTGAGCCATGGGGCCCAAGATGACCCCAAGAGGCCTCCCAGCCTCTCCCCAAAGACCCTCCACCCCGCCCTGTTTGGCCCAATATGGCTCCAAGAGAGCCCTAGATAGGCAAATATGGTTTTCAAAATGGCCTAAGACAGCCAAGCATCGCTCAAGATAGCCTCCGACAGACCTCCAAGAAACCTCAAGACAGCCTGAAGATGGCCCGAGATAGCCGAGCATGGCTCAAGATAGCCTCCGACAGCCTCTAGCCGAGCATGGCTCAAGATAGCCTCCAAAGAGGCCTCAAGAAAACTGGCAATCAATTCTGGATGGGCTGGTGGGGATTCTGGAGCGCCGGATCTCTGGGGCCGCGCTCGCGCCACGGGTCCGCAGTGGGGGCATTGGGAGGGCATCCGCGCCTACGCCGGCGTTCCCTGCCGCGTCGGCCCAGAGGCCTGTTGAGGGGTGGCGGCGCGCGCGGTGGGGCGTACGTACAGCGGGCCTCGGGGCCCTTGCCTGGCGAACGTGCCTCCGCGCAGAAAGCGCCCTGAGACAGCTGGAGCCTCGCGGCAGAACATGTTCCCCTCCTCCTCCTCCTCCTCCTCCTCCTCCCCCTCCTCCACCACCCTTTCGACGCTGCGCAAACTGAAGGCTGAAGGCGGAAGCCTGGAGCGTGCATGAGAAAAGACACGTCGCCTTGGCGGTGCGCGAGGCAAATTTAACCTGGCTTGCGCAGCTGGGTTGGGCAGGCAACAAGAACAGTCCTCTTCCCCCTCCTCCTTCTTCTCCTACTCCAGCGTGCTCCTACTCCTCTACTATTCCTCACCACTCTCCTCGTTCAACAACATGGGGACCACGTGCTCTTCCAAGACGTCGATAGATCTGTGAAGCAGTCCCAACGGCAAGCCCGCTCTCAGCGGATGGGGGAACATCTGGCCGATCACCTTCTCCTCCTTCTCCTCCTCCTCCTCCTCCTCCTTTCCATCCTCATCGTCTGCCATGCGCCGCCTCCTCGCTCTCCTCTCCCCCCTCGTGCCCCTTCTCTCTCCCCCTTCTCCTCGTCTTCCCCTCTGTCGATGCCGCGGGCAGATGCCGTTCATCCCAAATGGTCCGACCAACTATTCCCCTCCCTCCTCCTGCTCCTCCTGCTCCTCGTGGTCACCCCGTATCTTCCCATGATCAGGCGATCTTTGAAGTGCTCGGCAAACTTCTTGTCAAGCCTGGGCTCCTTGACGAGACTCATGCTGGGGTCGCCCAATCTTCCAACCAATGATGTGCTGTACCGGCCCGGTCTGACATACGCCAAGCATGCCGTGCCGCCCCGCCAGCTTGGACGGACGGACAGCATCAGAGCAACCAATCTTCACACCGCGGCGCATGAACTCTCGTCGTGCGCTTGCCGGTGGGGGGGCCGCACGCAGGAGCCAACACGGCTATACGGAATCAGTGCTGACAGGAAGCTGGAGAGGCACACGCTTTTCAGCCGGCGGCGCAGAGGATCCTCAGGCGTGGACGGCAGATGGAAGTTGCGCTCGAGCATTGTCGAAGGCAGAGTATACAAAACGTGCACACTGTCAAGTGCAGCGATGTGTGGTGTAAGGAGGAACTGTAACTCCCCGCGAAGCGTGCAGCGGCCAGAAATCCGAGGTGACAACTGATAAACAACTCGTGAACAACCTCTGGCCATACGCAAGCGGGGCGAGCCGGCGCGCATTGCAAGCGCACTTCTCTGACGAATGTGCTCGAGCAAAAGCCGTGGATTCCCCAATTAGGGGCGTGCGAACTGCGAGCAGGTGGACCAGGAGCAAATCCACCGAGTGACACTCACCGGACCTGGCAGCGCGTCTAGCACAGCTGGCAAGACAGCGGCTGCGGCAGATAATCATGAGGCCAGACACTGGCGCACACACGCACCATTACACACACGGTACACACCACACACACACACACTTCCAAGTCCGACCAGGGTCAGTGGTGATGCACCGTGCTGGTGGAGAAGTGCGGACAGAATCCGTTGGGGAACGGCGTGGACGCGGCGCGGGCAGCAAATCCCGAGAACAGCACGGACCAAAGCCCCTGGGCCAAGTCAGAGCAGGAACAGAGTCGTCACGGCGTGAAGTGAGCGTGGAGGTGGAGTCAAAACCACGCCAAACGCACCTCAGTAGGACGCGCGTCGTGGGGGCGAGCAAGTTGATTTGCCAGGTGACGAACGGATATCCTGGATAGGGAGTGCAGCGACGGGTCAGTGCGAAAAGACTAGACGGGGTGTAGCAGGAGGAGGGAACGCTAAGTGCTAAACTTGTGAAGATGAAGGGGAAGGAGGAAGGGTTTTAATGCCAGAGGAGGAGCAGGAATTCTGATGCATAGTTGGAGGCCGCTACGAGTCGGACGTTGGAAACTGGTGAGCGCGAGGGTCGACAAGACAGATAATCTCGATAGGCGAAGTCGCTGTGTCGACACCCAAGCGGACGAGGCGGCAGGCCAAGCAAGATATGTGGAGGGCTGATGCAACGGACACGCACGCACACATCAAGACATACACACAGCCAAATAACGCATAATAGACACACACACACACACGCACACGCACGCACACACACACACAAGCACACACGCGTACGCATGCACACGCAAACACACCCGCTCATCCTCATACGCACAAGCACTTTACCCTGACACAGCGCTGTGTGTCACGAACACGTTGCACGCTACACTCATTCACCCATACGACGCTCACCATTGCTCATCATACCTTTTCCTCTTTGTGGTACGCGCATGCACAATGTAGGAACAACTACCTCTGTTGTTATCGGGTGGCCCTTCGGGCCAGAGCACCTGCGTGCCAAAGCCATCGTCACATCGGAGGCTTGGGGGGGAGACCGGAATGAACCGGGGGGCCCGACCGGAAACTCGGTTCTGGTTTCGGCTCGTGTCGTGCGGGCGGGGAGAAACAGCGCGAGTTCCTGCCCTAGCTAGGCCAACGTCACGCCAAACTGAGTCGGTTCCCGCAAGGTTGTCCCACGGCTGTCCCGGGCGTGCGCGGGGTTGTCCCGCGGTTCTCCAGTGATTGTCCTGTGGGTGTTCCGTGGGTATCTCGTGGTTGTCTCCCGCGGTTGTCCCGTGGTTGTCCCGTGGCTGTCTCGTGCTTGTCCCTTTTCTGTATTTTCTCATTTGATGTTTAATTTTTCGCACACACACACACATTGCAGATGAAACATACCGACCTGTAGTCATATCGATGTCCCGTAGTTGTCCCGCGGTTGTCTTGTGGTTGTCCTGTCGTGATGGTTGATCGAGGGATCGGCAGATCGAAAGAGTTCCATCTGTGTTTTGGTGTTGTGGTCGATGGATCTGGTCAGAACGATAGATCAAGAGACCGATGTATCGAGACTGTTGTAGAGATAGATCGCGAATCCGTTCCGACGCCAATCGCACAGCGAATGCTGCATTCATCCCCCGACCTCCTTATCACCCTGAGGGTATGCCCGTGGGCATCCGCAGACGGGGCGACCACGGGACAGCCACGAGAAACAACAAGACAACCACAGGACGACAACGGGCCAACCCCGGGACAACCAGTGCCAGGGCTGCGCCCTGGGACGAGGCTCCCCTGCGAGGGTCGTCGTGCTGCGTGTCGTCGGTCTGGGCACCGGCATGGCCCTCGCCGCCGTGGCACCCGCAACCTTGACGCCATGTTCCGTCGAGGAGGCGAACGAGCAGAAAGGAGGAGGAGCAGCAGCAGCGGGAGCAGGGGGAGGAGCATCAGGGGGAGGAGGGGGGAGGAGGAGGAGGAGGAGGAGGAGGAACAACAACAGATACGGGCTGACGCGGAGGGGGGAGGAGGAGGAGGGGGGAAGAAGAGAAGGAGACGAGCGTAAGAAAGGAGGAAGCAAAGGAGAGGAGGGAAGAATAGAGGGAGGGGAACGAGGAGGGCGGCACCACGGCGGCCAAGGACGAGGAGACGGCCTCCAGGGTGGTGGCTCTCGATGACGTGGTTCTCGAGGTGGTGACCCTCGTGGTGGTTGCCTCCGGGGGGGGGAGCGCTCTTGATCTCTTCCACCGCCACGATCACCATCACCATCACCATCACCATCACAATCATCATCACCACCACCGTCACCATCACCATCATTATCATCACCACCACCATCATCATCGTCATCATCATCGTCATCGTCATCGTCATCGTCATCGTCATCGTCATCGTCATCGTCATCATCATCAGCATCATCATAAGCATCAGCATTTCCACCACCACCATCACCTTCATCACCATCACCATCACCCTCACCTTCACCATCATCTGCACTACCAACACTCACCATCACCACCATTATCATCTTCAACACTACCATCATTACTACCAACACCATCACTTTCACCACCACCACCACCACCGTCACCGTGACCGTTACCATAACCGTTACCATCATCATCGCCGTCATCATCACCATCACCATTATCATCATAGCATCGTCATCACCACCACCACCACCATCATCACCACCACCATCACCAACACCATCGCCGTCGCATCATAATCACCATCGCCCCGATCCAACTCGTGTCCTCGTTCTCGGGATCTTCCGCCTCCTCCAGCTCCTTCTCCTCCGCCTCTTCCTCCTTATTCTCACCCTCCTCATCGTCGTCAGCCCTATCATTCCCCCCACATCTCAAACTAATTCCTTTTCCTCCTCCTCCTCATTCTTCTCATCCCTCCTCCGCCAACGCGCACCCTGCTTTTTTTCCTTCTCGACCTCTTCCTCCATCTCATCTTATCTTCCTCATCCCGCATACGGACATCCTACCCACCCTCCTCCCACTTCTCTTCCCCATCCATTCATCCATCCTCCTCCTCCTCCCCCTCCTCCTTCTTTCCTCATTCCCCTCCTCATACTGTTGCATGTGCTCCACGTCCCCTCTCGTTCTGTCTCTCTCTCTCTCTGTTTTTTGTCTGCCTCCTCCTCCCCCTCCTCCTCGAAATCCTCGTCCTCATCGCCGTCGTCCTCGCCTTCCTCCTCTTCCGCCTCCTGTCCCCCATTGCTTCTCCCCGTCCTCCTCCTGCTCCTCCTCCTCCTCCGGCTTGTCTTCCTCATCCGCCCTCCCGCCCTCCTTTCCCTCCTCCTGAGAAGACCACCCCCATCCTCCTGCAAAAGTTTGGCATGGACCGGCATATAGTGGGGCTGGCGGGACCCGAAGCCCGCACATGACTCAGCCTTCCATCCACTTGGCCCCGACAACCCCCTTTTGCGCCGCCGTCTCTGCCTCTATGCCCGACCCCGTCAACAACCCCTTCCAGCCCCCTGCGCGCCTATTGGCAGGCCAAACTGACCATCTTCTGCGCTGTTGCCCGTTTCCGTCACTGGTCCCTGCTGGCCATGCTGCCTCTTCGACTAGTCCTGCGAAACATCTATGCTGCAAGTGCTAGTTCGCATCACTAGCCCGTCTTGCCCCCCCTGCTATCTTGCCGACTAACCTCGCAAGCCCACTTTGGGGACCGATGCCCATCCCCGCCGCCCATAAGCCCTCGCTGGCACCATCCTCTGGCCGTCTGGCTACCACCATTGTTGTCGCGACCGACGTCAGAGGCCATCCGAGAGGACACTAGACTCTCCTGAGGGCAGCATGGCACAAACAAGCCGGCGGACGCATGGTACGACAAGACAGGAATTGAGGATTGAGGATTGAGGTGACAATAACTCACCATGAACTTGCCAGGTCTCGACGTGCTCATCCGTCCGTACACCTCATCAGCGCGCTGGTGACAGTTCCAGACACTAGCCGCTACCCCCCCATGCCGCCGAATGCTGCTTTGCGTCCGCGCGCATGTGTGATTTCAGGAGCAGAGAGAAAGCCTGGGCTAAAGGGAGGAGGACCCAGACGGCGCCAGGGCGAGGAAGCTGCCTTCAGCGTGGTGACCTTCGAGGTCGTGGCCCTCGATGTGGTGGCCTTTGTGGTAGTTGCCTGACGGGAGTCCTCCCGATCCTCTTTTTCATCACCCTACTCGTCCACATTCTCCTTCCCGTCCTCTGCGTCACTCAGCAACTTCTTGTTGCTGCTCTCGCCTGAGGGAGCTGCTCAGCTTGAAATGGCGAATCGCACGCGCCTAGTTCCTCACGCCGCGCTGCTCGATCAACGTTCCTGTTGAAATCCGCCCGTGCTCCGCGCCACCCGAGTTCCACGAGAGGGTGGAGAGGGTGCAGGGATGGAGGGGGACGAGGAGGCGGAAGAGGACGAGCAGGAGCAGAAGTGGGGCAGACCTGAGAGCCAGGGCTGAAGAAGCAGAGGCGGGCCCGAACTGCATCGCCGCGGAATTGGATCGGATCGGAGACGGATCCGACCGCCGGC